GGTAGCCTTGGTACCTAAGCCGGTTGAGGTACCGGCCCTCGTACCCACCTTCGTGCGGTGAGTAGATAGCTAGAGCTTTGTGCTCTTCGACGTCTGATGACCACTGTCCCAGATCAAACTTTACAAGATCTCCTCCAATGAAGTCCTCTATTCCTATGCTACATCTCACCACTGCCAGGTGCCTGCTTTTTCCTTTGGACGATCCCTTATTTTCAATTGTCACTGAACTACTCGTCGAACTGTAAAATGAGAGATTTTGACGTAGACGAGGAACTGAAGGTAGCAACGATCCGTGATATGTGTAGGCTGCAGCTGCCATTTCTGTTCAATGTTCTATCTACAGCATTAAAAGAGAGAGTGCCATAAAAAAATTAGATGAAAATTGAAGCGAGTAGAATGAAGACTCTATCCAGTCAATTGAAGACCATATGATGGAGAAAGAAGATAAGAGAGCATATCCACACCTGTTTTGTGGACTCTAAACTAAGATGGAATCAGCCCCAGCTCCCTTGTTTTTCTACAGTTATTTCCTTGAAAAAGCTTTCTACAAAATTGGTTGGTCGAAATCTTGTTTCAAATTTTGACCCGTGCAATGGAACATAGTGTTATTCAAATTATTCGCTACCACACGGATTTGGTTCTACAAAAAATAATGTTATATAACACCAAGTTAAGTAGCAACATATGCGCATTATAAGCCATCATTTAACAACTGTAAAATGAGTTTTTGAATGGTAATTTTTTGAAGAATTTGTAGTTAAAAAATAGAAAAAAATTGGATTAACGTGCAGAATATTTAGTATGAAAATGTGAAATTGAAAATGAATTTGAGAAAAAAAGGAAAGAGTTTTATTTCAATGATGGTTAGATAGGGCTAAGTTATATACCCAATTAAATATGGGATGTGATGAAAATAAAAAAAGTTTACCAAAGGGAAAAATCATTGTTAAATGTGTTTGCATCCCCAATTAATGCCACTTGTGACAGTTTCTCCAAGATGAAAAAACCCAATAAATTTTAATGTAAAACACCTACTTTTGTTAAAAAATTCAAATATACCTCCATCTTTTTTCTTAGCCATTGTTTGGTCCTTACTATTTTCAAAATATATTTTTCTCTCTTATTTTCAACTATATATTCTTTAATAAAATAAGATTGCACGCAAATTCAAAAAAATTTCATATTTCTTAACCACACATTTTTCATCAAAATACTATTCTAAAATACATTTTAGGCAAAAAAGACCCAAACAAACTCTTATCATAATTATCCATTTTTATCAAACC